AAAGGCAGACTCGTTAGGGGAAGAAAAAAAAGAACATACATTTATTACAGACACTAACAACACATAACAGAGTAGGACAGTGAGAAGCATTGCCACATCTTGAGAACACCTTCCCCCCACCCCTCCCTTCTTCCCGGGCTCAGTTCTGCTCCTGATATCTCTACCTCCTCCCCCAGTGGCGCAGGGGCAGGGAATGGGGGGTGCAGTCAGTGCTGCCACTTCCTTCATCTTCGGTGAGCGGAGTGTCTGAAACTTGTTCCTCCTGCTCCATCGTGGTCCCCCTCTCACAGCAGACAGTCCTCCACAAACTTTCTCCAACTTGAATTCCTCCCATGGGCCACAGCATTCCCCACACTGCTCCGTCATGGGTCACTAACTTCCTCCAACTGGATTCCCTCCCACGGCTGCAGCCCTTCCCGAGCTGCTCCGGCGTGGGACTCCCCCGCATGCTGCAATCCTCCCAGCACTGAATTACAGCAGCGGGGCTACCTTTTCCCATGAGACCCCGGCCTTCTTTGGGCACAGAAACTTGATCAGGCGAGCAGGAGCAACAGGCCATAAATCAATGTCTGCTCCACGGGGGTCTCTGCTCCGGCACGCCTCCACCCTCCTTTCTTCCTCCATTCCTCCACTGACCTTGGTGTTCAGGCAGCTGCAGCAACTCCTCCTCACAAGTCCCACTGCTCCTCACCACGTCCCTTCTTAAATACGTTATCGCAGAGGCGCAGCCGACCACCAAAAAACTCCACCACTCACTCAACCCAGAACAGTATGGATCATGCATTCTGCATAAGTGGAAAAAATTCTCAAGAAATAATAATCCACATTGTGGGGGTTTTTGCTGTCTTCTGACAAAGCCCAGGGTTTTCCTTGTATTTAATAAATTTCATTCTACTGTTTTGAACTGTATGTAAGGGCTGTTTGTAATGAATAATAAATGATGCTTCTATAGCCTGTTCCATTTAAGGACCTTCATGAGCTTTTCTACCATGAATGAAATAATTCATCCAACACACAGGTGGGGAAAGCTTTATTTATTATTATTGCCAGCATTATTATTCTTTTCAGATTTTAGAAACTAGACACTGAGGTAGAGAAAAGTTGAGGCCTGATTTAAAAGGAAATACAGACCCGGGTTTCCCACCACAGCTTTTCCCATTCCTTTGCTTCAAACTGATGGCCATTCAACAATATTTTTCTTTTTCAATACACAATTTTTTAATTGCAAAATATTTAAAAGTTATGTTTCTTTTAACAATAATGTATTGCGTGATGTTATTTCAGAATTTACATACTTCAGAACTGTATGTATTTTTGTTGCCTTAGAAGACCTAAGGAGTTCCTGAAGTGGATATAAGTCTTCAATTAAAATAAATATTATTGTGAAAAAAATGCTAAGTATTGAAACTGTGCATGATGCCACATAGACTATGTAGGCCTAAATCTTGCTTCTGTTATGCATGCCAAGCTAGTGTTGACTTTCAGGGCTAAACCCACATCCCATTTATGCAGGCTCTGGCTGACAGAGAACTATGAACACAAGGCCAGAGAGCAGTTGCTAGCAGCCCAGCAATGTTGGCAGCTATTAGCCCTGGGCTCCTAGCCAATTTGCACAATGGTTTCTGTCGATGCAGCATTTTGCATCAAGGATGTGTCACCAGCAAAGCAGAAAACATGCATGTGCCCCAGCAAAAGAGCAAGGCCAGCTGCAAGTGAGCAAAAGTTCTGGTCATTACATTTTTTTGTGTGGACATGACCTTTGAATTACGTTAGCCCACTGAAACCATGATCTGGTGACCCTTCACACTCCAAGTGGTGCTTACTTATTAAAGGCTTTGCAGAAGGAGAGTGTCTCACTTTGTTTTGCAGTTTAAGAATATCTAGGTGGACAGACTGGTAAGGAAACTGTGGCTTGCCATTTAAATCCTTGTCAAATATCTGCCTCAATTTTTAACTCAGTCTCCAGTGAGAGCAAAGTAAGAGGATTAAGAATGTATATCTCACCAGCTGTGTTCTGGGTGTGTAAAGAGCAGGGCATGGGCTGATTCTCATGTGCCTGTTAGTCTAACTTAGAAAAGACACCAAAAAGCAACAGAAAAATCCCCCTGAAGAGACCCTTCAGCCTTTGGTCTTTGCAACAGGACAGACTCTGGCCCCAATGGCAACTCATTGGTTGTTGATGCCTTGTTTTGTGTTGCAGGAAACAGATGGTCTTTTCTCCTTCCTTGCTCACTTCACCTTTTCTATCAGTTTTAATGGCTTTAAAAGAAAAAGCTTTTAACACTTCTGTTTTGTTTTTACCGTTTTCAGTGTTTTGCACCAAAGGCATTCCACTAAATACATATGCACTAGTGAAGCTCAATTGCCCATCACAAATGTGTAAGGGGTGTTAATGCAGTAAGAGCTTGCAGCTATGGCTGTTTGAACCAACACAGAACAGCTGCAGCACTTCAGCACTGCAGGAAAACAGAAGAATCTTCTGCTTGTTGGAAGTACATTTGCTGTCATATAAAGAAATTTGGTACATAGCAAACTGAAACTTCTCGTACTTCAAATAGTATCCTTTAAAAGTTTCTTTGATTGTTCAAATAAAAGTGGGAAACTCAGTTATCATAATGTGCAATAAGAGCTTTATACAGTCCCAATAATGAAACTAAGATTTTCTCATTTCCAAGAGTGGCCCATTATGTGGGGAGGAAGGGGAGACTTAAAATGGGATTTGAGAACACATTGAAGAGGAACAGTAAGTCAAATCCATGACAAAATAATGTCCAAAAAAAAGGTTATCTAAAAATCACTTCTTAAACAAAGGTGAAATTTCTCTGTATGGCTGTAACTTCCCTTCTTCTGAAGTATTCACATAACTATTTTGTGGATATTTGTAATTCATCCTGGCAGATATATCTTATTGCTGATCTTTAGAAGCATAGTTTTGTAAGAGAATGAATTTAGATAGATAGCATTTCAAATGGGACTTGATTGCAGAAAAGTATTTATAAGAGATTTTCTCAGGTGGGATTGGTGCTCTAATTGGAGTGGTATCCAGACTAGCACTGTATCACTCCTCTTTTTGTATTTCAAAGATTACCAAATCACCACTCATTTAAGGAAACAGTCTATAGAAACTCGGCAGGAGCAGATAGGCTTGTACAATGGCAGGACAGCAAATACTGTCTGCTTCTGTAGGGACCAGGAGGCTGCTCTGGAGCCTGCACCAGTGCCTGATGCACCAGCATCTTCTTGCCTCTGTGAAGGGACAGCTCCTGCCTCCACTGAGAACAGACCCTCTTGCTTGCTTTGGGTGCTAAACAGGATGATCCCAAACCAAACACTAATTTTAGCACATCAGACCTCTGATACATGCTTAATATCCTCATTTATTTGAGGAGAGGTGAAAGGTATGTGCTGTTTATTAGAACCTAGTGTAATATGCCATCTGCTAATTTCTTCATTTAGTGTTAGGAGACATCTTTATGTATAGAGAAAAAAATAAAGGGGCTCTTCAGACTCTCACTGCTCCTTTGGGATTGTGTTTGTTGCATCTGGGGAAAATGGTTCATCGTAAGCTAAATGAGGATCTTTGCCAGAGCCTCCTGTTAGAATAGTGACAGTGTATCACTGTGCCATTTCAGTCCTCGAGTACTCTTTTCAGATAAGCATGTCACATGTGTGTGTGCATGTGCACATGTGTGTTAATCTTTGAGTCCTGGCGAAATGCCACTTTTGGTGCTTACTTTCTGTCTGCTGGTCTTTAAGTCTATTTGTGTCATCATTAGGATACAGCATTATTCACTCCTTCAAGTCCACTGTTGTACTGCCTTGCACTACACTGTTACAGAGAGGTGGATTTTAATGGGAGGACTGATAAATGGATATGTTCAGGAGGAAGGTTTGTGAGATCTTTCCTAATCAAAACTGTAAAGTGGATAAACCCTCATACCGTGCACTTCCCAAGGCAGGATGGCATGTAACGTTTGCGCATTTTTGAATCCTGGCTAGCTGCAGTTCCTCAAATCATCCATCACATTAGAGGGAGAGAAGCTCACTTTACTGCCGCCATGTCCTTTTCTCCAGCAACTTAAGACTTGTTGAAAGGAAGATTAACCACTGTATTATTCATCTTGTGGCTGCCTGAAGTACTGAAGAAACATTTCTGGGCTATGTGTCCCTGTCTGTCCCCAGGTCCTGTTAGGCTATGGGAGAAAATTACAAAGCAGCAGTGATCATTCCTTGGGGGACCACAGCCTCAGACCAAAGCAGGGGTGCTACCACCAAGAGGGGGAATATCGGATAGTGTTGGAAGGAGAATAAAGAGTGTAAGGACTGACTTTAGAGGAAGGACTTTTCCTGTGGAGCATCAGCAGGGTCAACAGTTTGGGTATATTTGCTCTGAGATAGCAGCTCATCATGCTCTCTAATCCCACTTCTGACAGCACTGCTGGAGATGTAAAATTGTATAAATTTTATTTTATTGTTATTATTTTATTGTTATTACTGCTCTTCTACTAAAACATTTTAAATACAGGAGATGCTTATCTGTAAAAATTAAAAATAATTTCTACAAAATAATATACTTGTTATACAGTATCTGTGAAATTTAATTTTTTAGCAGTTTTTTGCCAGTTATTAGTTTCTAAAATACTAGTAGTTTTTTCATTGTGAGTGTATTTTATTCCACCATAACTTCTCTATGAAATGAACAGCACGATATAGGATATTATACTGGAATTTTATCCAAAAGTATCAAGTCTAATATTAATGTGAATGCCAAGTTAGACTCAAATCACCATTCAGTAAAGAGTCTTTAAGCTCTACATCTATCTTTCTACTTAAACATCTCTAACATGCAGTCTGAAAACAATGGCACATACTATAAAATTACAAAGTATTTATTCACTCAGATGTGGGTGTGTTGATTCTAACCAGTTGTCATCTGTCAACTAAGAGATAACTTTCTATGCATTTCTCATTTTCTTTTTTAATATGTCCATTTTTTACAGCCCTTGATCCATCCAAAGATCCATGTTTGAAGGTGAAGTGCAGCCCACATAAAGTGTGTGTCACTCATGACTATGAAACTGCTATTTGTGTAAGCCGCAAGCAGCTGGTACACAGGTAAGGAAATGTTATGGTTTTTGAGGTTTTTGTGTCTTCATAGACATCCGATATGATGAGAAGTAACATGAGAAAACTCCATAATGAACATTAAACCCCATAATTTTAAAACATTCCTTTAAAGTTCAATTTGCATTCTTTTCCAAAACAAACAGAAGTCTTATTATTTGTAACTAAGGTTATTCCAAAAAGATGAACTGGAACATGGTGCGCCATGTGTTGTGGAGTGCAGAATGCTCTCTGAGTTCTGGGAGTGGTTTTCTCCTCCCAGAGAGAAGTAACTATGCATATTTTAATATCTGAAAACCTAGAATATGAAAACATTGCGTCAGAGGCATCTACAGTTCCAGTAACTTAATTAGAATCAAGCAAAAAAAGATTTTAAAAGATTTTTTTTTTTTAATATGTCAATCCTCTGCTTAAATTTGGTAAAGAACTGAAAAATGTTGGTGGACCTTTGTAGAGCATCTCCCTGGGGAGTCACATAATTACAGAAAGCACCAGATCTGATTGTTGAATGACTGAATTAAGAGCAAATGGAATAGCTAATATGTTAAAAGCTTTGGCCAAGATATTCAAATTAGACCACAGAACTTCACTGAGAATAAACAATTAAAAGCCTACTGAGTATAGGTGGAAATATGCTATGAACAATCAAAAATGAACAAATTTATAAACAAATTTAGAGAAAACAAACTAACGTTGCCCTGTTGCGGAAGCAGAACAAGTAGGACCAGTAAGGAAACTGGTCTTGACTATCTCCGGAGTCTCTCTGAGTCAAGACCCATAATCAAACTAAGAAATAAGTCCCTCCACTTGCCAACAGATGTCACATAATACCTGTACTGCTGTAATGGACAACTCTGAGTGGTTGGTCTGTACTGTAAGAAAAATATGTTGTCTTGATTTCATTACATTTGAGTGATAAATAAGGGGACTGGTCTCCAATTTCTTTCCCTATTTAGTAAGGAAGCAAAAATTTGCCTGTAACAATTCAAGTCCCTAAATGTCATTGTCAGCTAGGACTGTAGTTCCACAACTGTTCAAGCCAAATTAAATTCAGGATGATGTTATTCCCATAAACTAGTGCTACGTCTCATCTCACTGCTTCCTGGTGGAGGAAGCTAATCCAGTAAAAAAAAAAAATGTCTTTGATTTATAATACAAAATTAATGGTGTAATGTGCAAGAGACAGTATGTTTAATCTTTGGTTTTCAATATGGAATGAACCCTGGAAGGATGTTAGGAGTATGGCTATGTGCAGTGCTTACATTCTAATGACAGTTTTGGCATTATGTAGCTGACATTTTCTATTTAGGATGGATTTAAAGTACTTGCATTATACAGTAGTCCTTGTGATATATAGACATAGATGTTGAGCCAAATGCTTTTTGAGTTATTTCCAGTATTTAATGTCTCAAAAGTGGTCAAAATGGTATGGAGTAATGGTATAGAGGAGGAGCTGAATCTCCTTTTTTTCCAGAAACCAGGCTGTGTTTCATGTGATCTCTCTATGATTCCTTCACTGCCTGCAGCTATTTCAGCTAACCTTTAAGTAGCACTGTGACTATGGAGATGAATGGAAAAGTATTGAAAACTTACTTTGAAAATTCTCCAAACAATTTCTAGCAAGTTTTGTAATGCTGAAAGAACTACTGCTGATGTGTGATAGTGGTACATATGTCCTTAAAGTGTTTTTACTCTCAAGATATCTGGCTACAGAGAGTAGACATGTCAATGAGGAAAGTAAGTAGGCCAAATTCGCTGCTGATTTGAATCGGTGGAGTGACACCACTATATTCTGTTCTTTTTTCTGTACCTGACCTGAATACTGCGGTATGTCTGAATCCAGCCAAATTTCAGGCTGTGTTAATCAGGAGTAAATGCATTACAAGAGGTGGAGTTGCACCTATCTAAAACCAGTGAAAGCCTGAATATGTTAGTGTGAGTGCATGAACCATCAAACAACCCAGCACCATTGCAATTACTTTGCACATTCACAGTGATTTTAAGTGTACTCGGCAGGATTTTCTGTTTTATGCATCGTTATCAACTTGCTGTAGTGGCTTTACAAATCATGTAGGCTCAGCAAAAAGTAATCAGGAAAGCAACATCTTGTGTTATTGCTGAGGCTTCCAGACAGAGCTACGTTAATTTGCATCACCTGATTAACTGGCCTGCTGAAGAGTTGCAGCACAAGGAAACGGTATTTTTCCAGGCACAGTGTGGCTAACTTTGAAATCATCAGTGACAACACAATGCCACTCCTGTTTCATTTCCTTTGTGCTGGAATGCACACTTTTTAAACCTCTGCAGGAATACAATCATAGTGTATAAAATTGAATTAAATGGAAACTTGTTATTTTACATTTACTCAGACCCTGGCTCCGTGATGGCTAACTCACCCTGTGAGGCTTTCAGTCTCATACTTTTCGAGTAAGACTCTCACACCTGGCAGCATAGCTGCCACATATTTCTCAGTGCTGTGGCTTCGATCCTGCCCAAGAAGGACCTGCTGGAGGTGGGATGCCATGGCCCAGCTGGCAGGGCACAGCACATGGGTCCGTGGGATAGTAACTCACGGTGCCAGTAGGTTTGGGTATGGGTTACCCCAGGAGTGCCGAAGGACCCTGCTAGAACTCCCATGCCCCAGGGGCAGCCTGGCTCCTCCTGTGCAGCCTCCTCCTCCCCTCTTCCTCCTCCCCTCTACAGTCACCTGGAGAGCAGCGTGGGTCTCAAAGATAAGGGAGAAGATGTCTGAGAGAGATGTTTCAGACAGATAATAGTGTTTTGTCAGCACATCCTCTAAGGTGTTTACAGAACAAATTGGACAGGGCATTAAGAGAAAAGACAAGACTGAGCAGTGATTGAAGAGTGTGTAAAAGATAAATTTGAAGGTACCTTCTTATATGCTTCATGGTCCTTGGACTAATGATAGAGCCTTATGAAATCTTTTATGTGGATTAAAACTCCTTTCAATTTGGACATGATCTATGAGGAAGCATCTGTATTAGCTCAGGTTTGCATGAAATGCAGTAGTTAATATCTCTCAAAGATTTCTCATACATTTGCAGTCCTGTGAAACTTCATGCCATTTGTCTCTGCTGGTATTACTAGTGCAGCTGATGGGAAGGAAAGATGTCACTCTTGGGCTTTTTTGAAAATAACAGAATGAGAAAAGAGGATTGATGAAAAAATAATGGGCATATTAACATGTGCAGGGTTTACAGCTTTGTTCAGTCCATTTAACTGGCAATCACCAATTAGTTCATCACTGCAGTGTATATCACTCACAAAGGTAATCATGCAACGTCTCTGCTTCTTGGCTGTGACTTAGAAATCCAGCTATTTACTCAGTATTTCTTCAGTACTTTTGAGGCTACTGCTGCTTACAAAAGAGGCTACTACTGAGTTCCTCATGATTTTTTTTTAAAGATCTGGACAAGTTCCCAGATAAAACATCTGTTCTTCTAAATTGGGTATCAAAAGCCTGGTCTGACCAGTGTGACAGTGCTGGCAACTACAGTTATCCACAACAAGCAGACAAATCTCCCTCTCTTTCTTTACAAATCCTGCAGTTGACACACCATTTCTGGTTAGGAAGGACCCTGCTGAAAGCACGTCCAGTAAAACATCCCCATATGTGAAACTGAACTTTTTCATGCCACTGCTATTCTATGTGCTATTTGTGTGCTTTAAATTGTACTCAAAAGGGAATTCACAAATGAAGAAAATAATAATTGCAAAAATATTAGTGACCCACCTCCTTTCAAGAAGTGCTTGGGAGCATTACAGAAAAATCTTTGACCACAGCAAATGCACTTTTAGGGATTTACTGAAAAGTTGTGCACATGAGTAAGGATTTTAAACAACACTATTCCTCAGTGCCTATGTATTAGATCAACAGTTACTTTTTAAAATGCACTAAATATAGGGCCTATAAACCCTAACCCTGTTGTTTTGCTTTCCTCTCTGACTCTTGCATGTCTGTGTTTTCTCTTGCTTGCTTTTTAAATGCTAATGAGGGTTGGCACAACACCAAGGACTCCTTTGGGGGTAATATCTTCCTGTGCTAAAAACCTGACGCCCACATTCTCAGTGGCCTGACCGATGTGAGGGAGGGCTTGTTCCTAAGCTCGTGATGTTTAATTCTGCGTGATTTATGTGGTAATGTTTATCAAAGCCTGAATATGTGAGCAATCTATATGAGATGTAACAGAACCAGACCTGGGAGATTATTAATTATCTTTCGACCTACTGATAACATCAGTTTGTTCCCCAGTTAGCCTTGCTGGGTTCACAGCTTTTTTCTATACCCTTGCTCATTTTCATGCTGATTCAGAAGATAATTGTTGTTCATTTGTGTGTTAAGTACAATTCAGGAAAAAAATGAGAACCCAAAGGGAACTTTACAGAATAACATTCAACTTCCTGTTGGTATATTTATCAGTGTTAATTGTAAGTGGTGCACTTGTATGTATTTTCTTGAAAGGGCTACCACAAGCAGCAAGATGGCAGAAACCAGACAATAATAGGGCAAGACCACTGGGTAGTTTATTAATTTTTTTTTGTCTTTGTCTATGGAGACTATTCAACTAGTTTTTCTAGTAAGCTTTTATTACTTCAGAACGTTTCCAATGTAATGTGTCAATATTTCTAACTTCTCTGCAGATCCCTACTTTTCTTTCAGTTTCTGTTAAATTAGGAGGGAAGGGATGCAAGTCCCTAACAGGGTGAATTCCTCACTATCTCATTGAAGTGTTGATGCTTTTTTGTAAGCTGGCAGATGCAAGGCAGGCAAGATTATGCAGAAAATTTGGAAAATCTGCTGTAAAGATACTGTCCTTTCAATTATTATTTAATTTTAGCTGAGGAAAAATGCAGTTATTTTCAGTGGTGCTACAGTGGAACACAGTTCATTTGTCCATCTTGGGTAGGCAACATGTCAAAACATGTTCTGGGACACTGAGGCCTTCCTAGAGTAACAGGCCTCTGTAACT